TGGCCGTTGAGCCTGCGCATCCGAAGCCTGTGCTCCGCAAACGGGAGAGGCCACAACAGTGAGAGGCCCAAAAAAAAAAAAAAAAAAAAAAGAAGGAGGGATGAGCTATGGGGCTGGGAGAAAGGGTCCCAGACAGAGTAGAGAGTGGGGGCAAAGGCTGGAGTCAGCAAGAACTTGACCATTTGAGACAAAAAAAAGCAGTTCAGTGCAGCTGGAGGGTAGCGAGGATGTGAATGAAGGGTGGTGAGAGTGAAGCGGGGGGTGGGGGGGATCAGCTGTCTGGAAAGTCAAGTTGAGGGCCTAAGGGGCAGTGTCCTAAGGGGCAGCGGGAAGCTGAGGAAGGATTTGAGGAGAGGTGTGTGTGTCACAAGATCGAATCTGCTTGGAGACTTCCCAGGGTACAACACACTCCCTCTACACCTCAAGGAGTGCATCTTGCAGCCTCCTAAATAAGTTCCAGTGGTTGACCCTTCCTGTGGCTCTTCCCCACAGATTCCTATGGGGAAAGGACAGCAAGAATTCCATGTCAGAAGAATGTTCTAGATGACTGGAGATTACGGCTTCAAGCATCAAAACGTTAAACCAGCAGAACCTTCTACAATGTAGGGCCTGCAACATGCATTTCGTTCCTCCTTCCCCTCTAGCACCTCCACCATCCTCCTCATTTTAAAGGCTTTCACTGGCTCCCCTTTGTTCACAGATGTTCAAGGCCCTTCTCAGTGTGTCCCAATCTTCTTTTCTCCTACCACTGGCCACAACTCAACAGCATGTCAGTGTCTGTGACAAGCTACCCAAGGCTCTCCAGACCTTGGAGTCCTCTCAGATCTCTGAGCTGCTGTATGTACTCTTTCTCCTGCAGGGGATGCCCTTCCTCCCCTTCTCTTTCAAAAGTCCCACCCCTGAAATGCCCCCTGCAGGGCTGGGGCTAGGGTGATACATGTGACACAGGGTCTGATCCTGTCTTTTTAGAATTTTTTGAAATTTTGTTTATTATGGAATTTTTGGCATTAATTTTGATTTTTACAAATATTGCAAGGAAAGATTATTCTCTTAATTATTGCTTTTTTTTTTTTTTTTTTTGGTGCCTCCTTAAACTTGATACCTGCACTGAGTGCCTCACTTGCCTCACCCTAGTCCTGGTCCAGGCCCGTCACTTCCCGGAGGACAGATGGATGTGTCCTCCCCTGTGTCCCATTGCATTTGGTATCTGTTTCTGTGGCATCTTGGGTCCCATTGATTCCATAGATTGTGAGCCTCTCAATACCCAGCTATTTACACTCCCAGTGCCTGGATGTGGCATCCTGCTCTGCTATACATTTCCAATAAATCTTCAAATATCAAAAAATCACATTAGATAATGAAAAAATAAACCATAAGAAAAAATTTAAATGGTCCCTCATAGAAGAAAGAGGGAATAGGGCGGAGGGGAGAAAACTAGAAACTAAACTTCTTTGAATATAGCTACTTTTATAGATTTGACTTTGGAACCATGTTAATTATCATTTAACTGTTACGTAATTTATAAAACAGTTAAATTTAAAAAGCACCCCTCGGGACTTCCCTGGTGGCTCAGTGGTTAAGAATCCGCCTGCCAATTCAGGGGACACGGGTTTGAGCCCTGGTCTGGGAAGATCCCACATGCCACGGAGCAACTAACCCCGTGAGCCACAACTACTGAGCCTGCGCTCTAGAGCCCACGAGTCTGCGTGCCACAACTACTGAAGACGGCGCGTCTAGGGCCCATGCTCTGCAACAAGAAAAGCCACCACAATGAGAAGCCTACGCACCGCAATGAAGAGTAGCCCCTGCTCACTACAACTAGAGAAAGCCTGCACACAGCAGTGAAGACCCAACACAGCCAAAAATAAAGAAATAAATTTTAAAAAAAATAATAATAAAATAAAATGATAAAAAGCACCCCTAAAAATTCAAAGTAAAACAAAACAAATAGAGAGTTGTAGGCATATAATAGAAAGATACGTTTTCTTCAGGAATTTCAATACACGAGGTATTTATGTATGCCTCTGAGTCTATTTTGTTACTACAAGTTGAAATGATGAATTGGTTACTCAACACTAACCAAAGTAACCCTAAACATCATTGGACAAATTAACTTGATTGGAATCAACTTGTTTTGAATCTAGACCATTGGAAATCCATTGTAGCCCAGTCTGCATCTACCCTTGGCAGACAAAAGGACACCTACAGCCAGTCCCTCCCACAAGGTGACTGAAGGTGACCACTCTGTGCTCACAGCAGCTTTTCTCCCACTCACCGAGGGCTGGTTACCACCTGCCACCTTGTTGGGGGTCCACAGAATGCAAACTGATTCCCTCATTAATGGACTGTGGCCCAGGCCCATGAAAACTCACAGAGAGAAGAAATGCGTGTAATGTCTAGTGAATGAGTGGGCATTTTCTGTAGTTAGTGGTCACTTCTTGCTGCTACAAACATGTTCTGTTCAGCTGCTCATCAGATGAGCCCTTATGTTGCACACAGTTATTCCGGGTCAGTGCCTGTCTGTCCTTATAATAAAATGCATGGGCTTTGTGGCAGCTGCTTGCCACTCTGAGGTCATTCTGGTTCACTTAAGTGGGCAGCATTTAAGCAAGTGAACAACTCTTAAAATCCAGCCCTCATACCTCCTGCTCCCCTGGTCCTCTCCATTCCTCTGGATGGCTGGTGACAGAAGGGCTCCTCACACCCTCCAGCAGCTGCTCTCACTAACTTCTCTGCTCTCCAACTCTGCTCTGACCAGGTGGGTCCCCCTGGCTGAAGTGCTGTATCCCCTTCATTCACAACATCTTCCTGGACCCCGAGATATACTCTGCCTCCAGTAAGTCTCCCTGTGTGGGTTATAATTGCACAGGCAGGGGTGACCCAAACCTGTCCCTCCAGACACCTTGAGAGTTTGGGGTGGGGGGAAGTCTTTATCGATTTTTCTTTTCTTTCTTTCTTTCTTTTTTTTTTTTTGGCTGCACCACATGGCTTGCAGGACCTTAGTTCCCTGATAGGGATCGAACCTGTGCCCCCTGCAGTGGAAGCGTGGAGTCCTAACCACTGGACCACCAGGGAAGTCCCCCCAGTTTTTTTCTTATAGAGGCAACCTAACAATCTCTACCACCCCCTCCAGGACTGGAAGGACATATGTTTTTCTTTTGGGGACTATTACACAGCCAACAGAAATGACACATTCCTGGGCTGATAGAAGACACACACATGATAAAACTGATAAACAGAACATGCTGCCTCTATGTAGGGACAGCTCATCAGGGCAATAACCCGGGAGAAATGGAGAATACTTCCAAGTCAGGATTTGAATCCAGCCCCCAGATGCCATGCGCTGGGCTCTCCACGCCCACACAGCCACCCTTCTGGCCTCAGGCACTGTGCCTCATGCAGACGTAAACCTCTGAGGGAAAGGCTGAGTTTTGATCTGGAGGACGGGGTGTGCAACCCCCAGCCCAGCTCTGGGCTCAGAGCATGCCCTCAGTAGCACATAGGGTTAACTCGGGAGTGACTGGCCAGGGGTTCTTCTTTTTTTTTTTTTTTTTTCTTGCGTTATGCGGGCCTCTCACTGCTGTGGCCTCTCCCATTTGCGGAGCACAGGCTCCGGACGCGCAGGCTCAGCGGCCATTGCCCACGGGCCCAGCCGCTCCGCGGCACGCGGGATCCTCCCGAAACGGGGCACGAACCCGCGTCTCCCACACCGGCAGGCGGACTCTCAAGCACTGCGCCACCAGGGAAGCAGGGGTTCTTCTTTTTAAGTAGAGTTTCCTTTAACTGGAAGGTCACCCCTGGACTCAGTTATTAACTCTCTGAGGGCAAGATCCCCTCCTGTGTCGTTTTTCATTTGATTTATTGAATCCCTCGCAGCACTAGCACAGTCTCTGCTCTCAATACCTGAGTTTTAACCAGTTACCTGTTATTTCTGGGCAAGTTCAGAGTGTTGGGACCTGTCTGAATCTGCCCACTTGTTTACCCTTCCCTATTTTTCCACCCATTGAATCCATGAAGACGCTTCTCTATTTTTTTTTTTTCAGCACTGAGAAAGGCAGTGGGGTCGAGGGGCAAGATTGCTGCTTTTGGAGCTAGATGAGACCTGACTCCACCTCTTCCTGGCTGTGTGACCTTGGGCAAGCCATCAATCTCTCTGAGCCATAGTGTCTCCTCTGTAAAATGGGGATCAAACAGCATCAACGTACAGGATTGTTAGGAAGACTAAGTGAATATTAATGGGGGCACAATGTTACCACCCTAAGTGGCACATGGTCAGTCCCCTTAAATATTTGCTTTTTCTATCAACTGTTCACTTCCCTCCAGCCAGATCCATGGGTTCCTGCTCTCCAGTCCTCTAGGCTGCATTTAAAAAGTCAGGAGGGGGGCTTCCCTGGTGGCGCAGTGGTTGAGAGTCCGCCTGCCGATGCAGGGGATGCGAGTTCGTGCCCTGGTCTGGGAGAATCCCGCGTGCCACGGAGCGGCTGGGCCCGTGAGCCATGGCTTCTGAACCTGCGTGTCCGGAGCCTGTGCTCCGCAACGGGAGAGGCCGCAACAGTGAGAGGCCCGCGGACCGCAAAAAAAAAAAAAAAAAAAAGAAAAGGGATAAGGGAGAAATTTCTCAGAGATAGCCAAAGAATCCGAAGAGCCTGCACGGGGTTCCCCACAGGGTGGCTGGACCTCTAGCAGCTTCAATAAGACCTCAGGCCTGGGTGAAACGGAGCAGGACCCTACGGTCCTTGCCCCCCATGTCATCAGCCTACCTTTTGTCTGTGGAAAAACTTTAGCCAAAGAGTAAGTTTAATCAGAGATATGAGAAGATGCAGAAACGAGGGAAAATAGTCCAATAAGACTGAATAATAATAGTCTAGGCATTAAGCACAGTCAAGGACCTTTAGCTCCTCTTCAAGGGCTATAGATAATATTCTGAGCTGTATCCTATGAGCTGTCTTGTAGATACTGAAAACCACCCCCCCCCCAGAAGTTAACTACGTGATGACAAGACTGTAGCCATGACATAAGCTGCCACAATTCTGAGAACTGGCCTCAAAGAAATGGGAAGAAACGGACCGTGGAACTAAAGACCGTGTTAGGTAGCTAGTCAGACATGAGTGGGTCCCGCCCCATCTTGGATGGGGTCATCTTTCCCTCCCCACCTGGACACTGGTGACCAGAACATGCCCAGAGGTCCTCTCTTTTTGTGGTTAAGGACCGCTAAGTTTCCAGCCTTATCAGGACCAAGCAAGATATTGAAAACCCAACAGCGTTTTCCAAACCATCAGCACCGGTTGGCGCAGGTGCACCCAGACCTAAGAGGTGACTCAGACTAACCTGGGGTCCATTATTTATAATAAATTAGCATTGTGGTTCCCCACCCCACCCCCATTTCCAATTGGGTGCTTATGGGTAAGTGCCTGCATACAAGGAGAAAAGTAATATAACCTAAAGCTGTCAATCAACTTGTCAATCCAATGATGCAGGACACAGGGAGGGACTTGCCACGATTTTGAAAAACCCAGCCCTACCCTCACTGCAGGGCTGCTTCTGGTGCCTAGAAAGCTCACTGTTCTACCTTCTTGAGGGTGTACTTTTGCTTTGCTTAATAAAACTCCTGCTGCTTAAAACTACTCTATGTCTCTCAGTTGAATTCTTTCCCTCGAGAGGACCAGAACCCAGGAGTCACCATTCCACCGGTAACATGCGGGTGGCAGAGGAGGCCCAGGGACAACCAGGCCTGAAGAAGCAGAGATGGACCAGCAGCAACCCAAGGTGGTCAGAGCTGCCCACCTACCCTCCGCCCACTGGACGCCACAGGACCACGTAGCCAAGCCCCAGGACGGCAGGGGTGGAACTCCCCACCAGGCCAGCTCGGAGAGGGCTGGGAGCCAGAAGCGAAGTCAGAAAAATCAGGCAACCTTTCCCTGACGTCTGAGTGTGTGGACTGAGTTCATACCTGCTACAGAGATGCTAAGACCTCACAGATTCTCTAAGGATCGCTATTAAGATGAACCGCGATATTATATAAAATACGTGGCAGTGTGCTGGGACAGTAATTTTTCCCTTCGCCACAGTGAATTCCGTCCCACAGCCCTGATATGGGCGTGGAGTCTACTTGCTCTAAACCTGGCTTCTGCCTCTCACCAGCAAGTGCCCCCACTCTTGGAGCCTCAGGTGTGAAAGGATGGAGCAACCCTATTCTCTAAGATAATCCCCATCAGGGACAGTGATGCTCCAGGGCGGTGGCTCCTCCCCACACTTACCTTCTGTGGTGAGGCTGTCGATGAAGACAGAAGAGGAGGTGGTGGTGAGGTCTCCGTCAAAGGGGCTGAAGGAGCTGTCGGGCGAGGACGAGAAGGAGTCCTCGTCCTGGAAGTCCTCACACGTCCTGCCCTCTGCCTGCAAGAGAGATCCTGTGCTGCCCTGGACAGAGGCCTCGCCGGCGGCCATGCTGCACACAGGAGGATGGTGGGGCACTTGCATCCCTCAGCGGCCAGAAGATTTAAGATTCCGGTGCGTGGCCCAAGCATGGTAATCTAACCAAAGCTGGGCTCTGAATACATTTAAGCTTTCCACTTTATCCTGAAAGCATCTTATCTTACAGGGCAATTTATCTGTCAGCTGCTTCGAAGCCCTCCTGAAAGAAGGAGCTGAGATGCCAATCTTAAATAAAGCAAATCTGTACGTTCACCAACAGCCAGCGTCAGAAGTAGGCTTCTGGATGGACAAAGTTTTTTTTTTTTAAGGCCAGAAACAGCTCACCCAGCCTTACTGATAAAACAGATGGTGGTGAGCACATAGCAGTAATTCTGGGGGTTCGCATTTAAATGCTGGGCCTGGCACCTTCACCATCTCACCGGCTGTGAGCTGCAGGCCAAATCACTAAACCTCTCTGAGACTCAGTTTCCCGCTCCGGTAAGTGGGGGCACTGGCCCCCAGCTCCCGGGGACCGTGTTAGGATTAAATCAGAGCAAGTGCAGGGCAGCATGCGGTGAAGTGCTGGGCGCATGCGCTGTGCTTGCACTGCAGTGGAGGGAGGAAGGGAGGGGGAAAGGATGCGTGGATGAAAGGGTCTGTGTCAGTATAAGGTGTGAGAATTGGAGGCTCCCCACCCAGAGTCAAAGTGTTGAGCATTCATGGAAAATTCCAGCAGTGAGAAGGAACCTGTATGGGATTCTAAATGGGAGGTGCCAGGAATAGCCCTCCTCGTTCCCAGAACCACTGCCTTCCTCAAATGCCGGAGGGCTGGAGCCAGGTAGTCGCTTTTCGAACATCACCAGGTGCACAGCCTCCCGGAGGATCCTGCTGTGGCCAAGGCCACGCCCAATGTACCCTCTGTAAGGACCAAAAGAGCCCCTGGAGAGCTGCCGCTCCAGGCCAAGTCACCAGAAGTGCTTGTCTCAGGGACCCATTGAGCCCTCGGAAACCTCCCATGTGGGTCTAATTGGCTCAGAGCAGACAGGGAGACAAGCCCCAGGTGGAGGGGAGAATTTCACCAAGAGCCAGAGATGCCTTGAGAAGAGCTACCCGAGTTAGTAGCCCTGCTCCTCCCCACACCTGGCTCACTTAAGCCTCTCACCTCCTGGGCACAGCCATAGGACAGCCACTCCTGGCGGTAGCGGTCAAAGCCACTGGAGCATCTGCAGGGGAAACCAAAAGGCCAGAGGTGTCATGGGATTGACAGAGAAGCCCTTCCCTTCACCTCCCCCTATGCGGTAACAGCTCTCCAATGATAGCAAGGAGGGGGCGAACCTCCCCAAGACCACTGGGCAGGTGCCATGGGAGTGAGAGTCAGACCCTCCTGTCCCCTCTACTCCTTTCCCCAAAGGAGGGAAAGCTATTTGTGGCATCTTCTCCCTCCTCCTGACCAAGCTCCCCAGGACCAAGGCCACATCTGCCCAGATGTGGTGTGTGTAGGGAGCTGACAGATTGCATGACCTCTAATGACCTTTAAGGCCCTCCTGACTCTGGGCGGCCACGAAATTGCTGAGAATCCAGGGAATTCACACTCATGTTCTCATCTGGGGAAAGTCTTACTCATTCACCAAGCCCCCCTTCTTTGTGGAGGAGCCTAAACTTGTCAAGGAGGGGCGGGGCTGAGGGTGGCCACCAGCCAATCTGGCCAACACCCCCTGTGTGATCATTGAAGGGCAGAAGTCAGGGTCCTGCCAGAGTCTGGGAGAGATTAAACACGGCTCGACAAGGCTTCCCGGAGGACAATGAGAGCTCAGCTGGGCTGGAAGATGTCAAGTGCTTCCCTAGGGAAGGGGTGTGGTGCGAGGATGAACCAGAGAATGTTCTCCATGGCATCATGCTCAAAGTTCCGTTCTTCACTCTCTGGTGCCAGGAGAATCCACCAAGCCCTTCTTAAGCTCAGGAACCTCCTCATGGGAAGATAATATCTCAAGCCACCAGTGCTGCGAAAGGATTCGTGGCTGGTTAACTCTGCACCAGCAACTGCCTGCCCATCGATCCAAGACCTGGTGAGGCTGAGGCTTCCAGGCACTGTCAGTCTTTCCTTCTGAAGATGCCTCTGAGCTGCTCCTCCTGCAGCAGCAGCAGCTGAGCTGAGCCATCCACACCCCTCTGTCAGGTCCTCCGTGCCCCCTCCTTTGAGGGATGGAAGATTAAGGGCATTGTTGGGGGCTGGGGACTAAAGTTTCTTTTAGGCCAAACTAACTGGTTCTTTCAAGGACTGAGCCTTTGATAAATGTCTAAGAGCACCCCTTTCCAAGCTCGGGGCCAACCAACCCAGATGCAAAGGAGAAGGGCATGAGAAATGGCCATTGTTTGAGTGCCTCCTGAATGCCAGGTGCTGCCCCAGTCACATGCTGCTCTGGCACTATCTCATGGGACCCTCATGACAACACTGTAAGACAAGGGTTATGTATGACCCTCATTTCCAGAGCCAAATCCTGGAGTCAAAGTCACCCATAAACTTCAGAGTGGGTCACTGCGGGGCAATAGGGATGAAAGGAAAATACCTGCATGATAAGTGAAATAATCTAAATCAGATCTGGCCCCAGCACGGGGAGGGGAAGCTCTGGGAGGCTGCAGAGGGCAGAGTAGGTGGAGGGGAAGCCGAGAACCCATGTGGTGGTTTCAAGCAGCTGTTGGTGGGAGAGACCATCGTGGCCGGCCCCCTGCACCAGCTCTGACCTCTGGCTTTTTAGGAACCTGGAGTCAGCTCTCAGTTGAAGCTGAGGCTCCAGAAATCTGTCAAGAAGGGGCCCATGCTCAGTGAGCCCAGGCTCACGGACATCCGGGGACAGGATCCCTGATGGAGCTTCTTTGTCCCGTAGTTGACATAACCCAGCAAAGGCAGTGTCCATACCCAAGGCCCTGCCCTCCCCGTGACCAGCCCTCATTAAACTGTCATAGTTTTCTGGGTTTGGGCGTATGCATTAAGTGGGGGTGTATCAAGCCAGGGTTTTGCTTTCATGTGAGCCATTCTGCAGTTCTCATGGCTCAGCTGTTGGTGGACACTGAGTCATGCGGTGGCAGCCAGCCCCGGCGTTCCAGGCTCCTCTGCAGTCATCTGGGTGATCTCCCTGTGCTCAGACAGTGACTCTCAAACTTGAAAGTGCACAAGATGGACCACACTGCAAAGCTCCACACCAGGAAGAACCAACCTGGGGTGTGCCCTGTGTACTCTCTCTGAGGCTCTGTGCCTTTCATGTGAAGGGCTCTGAACACTTTGCAAAAAGACTATCTGGTATTTGAGGAGTTAAAATAGCAGGCATATTCCTCACCCACATCTCCCCGAATCACATAACCCCAGCCAATTTTACAGGGAAAACAAACTGAGGCCCCAAGAGAGTGAATAAGAGCACAGCTGTTGGGAAGAACACCTGGGAGGGCTGATGAGGACCCCTTTCTCCTCCCGGCCCAGAGCTGTGTCTTGTGTGCTAGGCCGGAGACCTATAAAGGCAGTGGCTTCTATTTCTGCGCCAGGATACTGGAAAGGAGCAAAGGAAACACTGACAGATCCAGGACAGCTGCAGAGAACTCAGAGCCTCTATAATTTGCAGTTTTTCAAGATTGCCTTAAAGGCTCTTGTAGTTCATAGGTTTTCCCACTCTCGTGGGAGCCCTAGTCCCCAAAGAAATTCTTTTCTTTCCCCCTGCCATTTATTTCTCTTGGACAGGAGAACAGGGCTCAGATTCTGAGTCTAATCCGTGAGGGAATGATTTCAGAACAAGGAGAGGAAGATGACTTGGATTTAAGAACTTTATGCCTGAGCCTGAATCTCATCCAGAATTCTCCCTGCTTCCAAAACCAAGCAAACACAGCTTTGTCACTTGCTCCAGCTTTCCACAGACGCTTGCAATTTCCACACCCATGGTTTTCAGGAAACCCTTCTGCAGCCTGAGAAAGATCTTGAGGTGCTGATCTGGGGTCATGGGGCTCTCCTCCAATGGCGATGGGTCTTAGGCTCATCCCGTCCCTGAGCCGGCATATCTCACGCTTGTTTGCAGACGAGGTACCGTGTTAAAATGCAGGTTCTTGGGCTTCTCTCCCAGAGACCTGATGCAGGGGGCCAGGGGTGGGCCCTGGGAATCTGCATGTTTAGCGCAAGCCCTAGGTGATTCTGGGATGCTCACAGCTGTGGACCACTCTTTGAGAAGACCTGCCAGAGGATGAACCAACCCTCCCAGGTGTGAGGAGGGAGCTGCAGTAGCTGGAATCTCTGAATGGCCTTCCAGAAGTCTAGTGTCACCACAGGGTGACATATAGTCACCTTGATGGGTCACAAGCCTCAGGGAGACACTCACTTTCATGATATTCTTGTCCTAAGTGTCACAGTAGCACTGGCCAGAGATACCCTCATGTTGGTAATGAGGCCCGAGGCAGGGAGTGGGGCCGTGCCCCCACCTGCCCCCCTGCACAGTCTGCCTGTGGGAATAAGAGGGTGAGCCTGGTACAAACCTCTGGAGGACATGGCACCAGCTGCAGTTGAAGATCAGGTCTGAGGACATGCAGGTGTCGCAGCTCCGATGCTGCAGGCAGGCTGCAAGAGAGAAGACAGCGGCCCCTCAGTACCAGCCCCTCCACAGGCCTCCAACAGGTGCAGCTTTCCTGAATGCTAGGTCCTAACACAACTCTGGAGGCTCTGACTATCAGGCACCCTAGAAGTTTTTAATGCCACCCTCACTTGAGTCCAGCCTTGATTCTCTAATTCTCCCTCTCTACCCTCCCTCCCTCCTTCCTTCCTTCCTTCCTTCCCTCCATCCTTCCTTCCTTTTGTCACCAGGGGGTCAGACCCTGAGCTGGTGCTGGCGATTCAGCAGTAAGACCTGGTACTTTCTTGGGCCTTACAGTCATATGGAAAGACAGACCCTAAGCAGATCATCAAACAAAAATAACTACATAATTATCATTGTGATGAGGTTTACTTAGGAAAATTACAGGGCGCCATAAGCACGTACAAAGGGATTGCACCTAGTCTGGAAAGTTATACTTCTGGCCTATTGCCTACAATTACAGGGTTGCAAAGGATATTTTTAAATCGACATATATTTGACATATAACGTCATGTAAGTTTAAGGTGTACAACATATGGATTTGATCCATTTATATCGCTGTATGATCGCCACTGTAGCATTTGCTAACGCCACCATCACTTCACATCAGTATCATTTCTTCCAGTGCTGGGAACAATTAAGATCGAGTCTCTCGGCAAATTTAGTGTTTACAGTTGTGTTGTCTACAATCACTGGAAAGGATTTAAGATGTCCTGGTTTGACCAGCTAGCACTCCCTGCTCCTAGGGACTGTTTGTGTGGCTGGATTGCCGTCAGAGGCCCGCTCCTCCCAGGGAAGTCTGGGGGCTGAGTTTTTGAGAGTAAACCAGGCCAGGCATACGGAATTCCATTCCTTTCCTCTCCCTCTCCTCTTGGAAGTGAGTTATTCCCAGGGGGTATGCTGACCTCTGCTCATCCAAGCTTAACTCTTCCCTGGAGAGCTACCTGACCTCTTGGTGCCTTGGTACCTCACTTGTAAAAGAGGGATCAGGATGCTGTCTGTGTGGTAGGCCAGCTGTGAGAGGGTTTATAACAGTGCTGGCCACACGGTGAGCCAGTGAATGCTATTTGTTATCGACTCTGGTCCTTCATTCCCCTCAATATACCTATCAGGTGCTCATTCACTCATTTATTCTTTCAACAAATATTTATTGAGCGTCTACCCCAGGCCTGGCACTGTCCCAATGCTGGAGATGCAGCGTGAACAGGAAAAGATAGAAGCACTGCCCACATGGAACCTGCAGTCCAGTGGAGGAGACAGCCAACAAATACACAGACAAATAGATCTACCCTAGGGTTGCCAGTGGTGAGAAGGGCTGGGAGAAAAGCGGATCAGAACAGGGAGGTAGAATGACGGTGGGGGATGTGTTTTACTCAGGGAGGTTGGGGAAGGCCTCTGAGGAGACTGAGAGAGCGAGGAAGCCAGCCTGGCAGCTCTCCTGGGAGAGAAGTCCAAGCAGAGGGGCCTCTGTGTGCAGAGGCCTGGGAGGAACACATCCCAGGGATGCTCCCAACAGCATCAGAACGCTAGCTGGCTCAGCAGAGTGGAGAGCTGGAAGGTGGTAGGAATGGGGAGGAGGGGCAGCTGGGGCCTAGCCGGGCAGGGCAAGGGTGGAGAGCAGGCAAGTTAGTGGGAGCAGCTGCTGGAGGGTGCGTGGACCCCCAGCAGAGAGGGCCCGGTGAGCAGGAGGTATGGGGGCTGGATTTTAAGAGTTGTTCACTTGCTTAAATGCTGCCCACTTAAGTGAACCAGAATGACCTCAGAGTGGCAAGCAGCTGCCACAAAGCCCATGCATTTTATTATAAGGACAGACAGGCACTGACCCGGAATAACTGTGTGCAACGTAAGGGCTCATCTGATGAGCAGCTGAACAGAACATGTTGGTAGCAGCCAGAAGTGACCACTAACTACAGAAAATGACCACTCATTCACGAGACATCACATACATTTCTTCTCTCTGTGAGTTTTCATGGGCCTGGGCCACAGTCCATTAATGAGGGAATCAGTTTGTGTTCTGTGGACCCCCAACAAGGTGGCAGGTGGTAACCAGCCCCTGGTGAGTGGGAGAAAAGCTGCTGTGGGCACAGCGTGGTCACCTTCTGTCACCTTGTGGGAGGGACGAGCTGTAGGTGGCAGCTTTTGTGTGTCCTTTTGTGTGTCCTTTTGTCTACCAGGGCTCTGCAGGCTTTGGAAGGGTGGAGGAAAAGCCATCGGCAGAAAATAAGCAGGGACCGACTTGGCCCAAGAACAAGAGAGCTCTGGCTGTTTTGTTCTCTGGTGCATCCAGAGGGTCTAGAACAGCGCCCAGCACGTGGTAGGCAGTTAACAAAAGTTTATGGAATCGATGAATAGTTGCTTTTGTTATCCTCATTTTACAGAGGAGGAAACTGAGGCTTAGAGAGAGTCACAGAGCTAAGAGTGGCAGGTCTGGGTTTGAACCAAGGTCTGTCTGAGCCAAGAGCCTGAGCTCCTAGTCTCGAGGTCCCACTGTGGGAATCCCCCTCTCCAGCTCCCACCTTCACCCCAGGCCACCTTTTCATGAGTCTTTTCTAGAAGAGGGACCAGCCATGGAGTGCTATGGCTTAAAAACAGTCCAGCCACACCTCTGGAAGAATTTTGGCTAAACGTCCTCCCCTACCCAAAGGTAAGGGAGAAAGCCTGGGGCTGTGGGGTGCAGAGTTTTCTGAGGACAAAGCAAACCTGCCTCCCAGAGGTTCAAATCACAGCCTTGGTAGCACTGTCCCTTCCCCTACATGGGAGCCCATGACCATTCCCAAGGACTCTGGAGACCCCTTAAATGGCTCCAGTCAAACTGAGAAAAAACCCTGGGAGCCTCGTGGGATATTCATAAAACCCACTGACCTTTATTTCTCATCTGCATTTCAGATGTCCTGTGTGCTATTAAATGCTCACAAAATTCACTGGAGGGGTGGGAAGTGGCTTAAATGTACAGACAGTGTCCCAGAAACGCATTCCCAGGATGTTTCACTTCTTCCGCCCCAGCAGTTAGCCCTGCCCTTGGATGTTCTTGTTCCCAAATGCAGTTTATTCATTCCTCGGTTCGCTCTCATCAGTCCTCGAGGAAGCCCTGCCTAGGGGGAGAGCCACTAGGGTGGGGGCGGGGCTGGAACCGCAGGTGTCCTTGTCCTGTGACTAGGTGTCAGGGACCGTCCTCTTTTCCAGGGGAGGACACCCGCTGGGACACAGCCTGGCATATTCTAGAAGCCCCTTCCTCCTCCTCTTCTTTCTTCAACCCCTGCCCCCGGAACCTCCAGGGAAGCGGAAGAGGGGGAAAGAGAGGCAAGAAATGCCCCAGAAAGCAGGGAGAAGGCCGTGGCTTCAGAGGGAAGCTGGGAGGCACCATGAAACAGGAGAAGAGATGAAAACTTTCTTTAAAACTAGAACGAGGGCTTCCCTGGTGGCGCAGTGGTTGAGAGTCCGCCTGCAGATGCAGGGGACACGGGTTCGTGCCCCGGTCCGGGAAGATCCCACGTGCCGCGGGGCGGCTGGGCCCGTGAGCCATGGCCGCTGAGCCTGCGCATCCGGAGCCTGTGCTCCACAACGGGAGAGGCCACAACAGTGAGAGGCCCGCGTACAACAACAACAACAAAAAACTAGAACGAGAGTGCTGTCCTTCCCTCACTCTCCCCAGCCGCCCTGACCACATCCTGAAGAACATCCCACCCAGATCCTGCGGGGTCCGCAGCAGCGGCTGGGGCATGGTGTGCCTTCAACGGCAGGTGAGTGGGGTACAGAAGAGGGACAGGACCAGGCCCCCTGGATCTTGGAGGGCTACTGGCTAAATCCCTCTACTGCCTCCTGCCTGTGGATGCCAGCATCATGCCTCCTCTAAGGAAAATACAATGACAAACTTATGGACCCATTCAGTTCCTGGTTTATCTTTTCTGGGAGCTCAGTCTAAATTCCCAGAGGTCCCTCTTTCCTGGGTTTCAATTATGTGTTAACAACAATAGCTGTCATGTATCAAGCACAAGCCACGCCCTGGGCCTGGGATGTGCCAGTTAATGTCTGAGTTTTCATTTACAACCTCAGCTCTACCTACTGTAGTTCTAACCCTTACTGTAGCCCTGGGAGGGAGGTGGTGTTAAGCCCATGTTACAAATGAGAAATGGAGGCCCAGAGAAGTTAGGTGGTGGTACCCAGACAGGGGACAGTGGTGGGCCTGGGATGGAACTCAGTCTGACTCCAAAGCTCTTTCCAAGATGGTGGAATGCCTCCCCCCGATCAGTGGGAACAACCCCTAATTACTTGGTAATGGGGTGAACTCCACAGCAGATGTGCTGGTGACCTTGCTGGGGTCCAGCTCCACACGGTGGTATTCGAAGATGGTCCTTCGCCGAGATTCTGAAACATAGGCAGAGCCTGTCGTCAGGAGCAGCTCATGGCCAGAGGGCTTCAGGGCCTGGACCTGGAGCCTGACAGGTAGGTAAGAGATTGTAGTGAGTGGAACCGGGAGTTAGTATGCAGCCACTGAGGGCAGGAAGTAAACCCATCATCCTGGAATAATGGTGTTGAAACTGTGGGGAGACAGGAGATACAGGAGTTGGCCTTGAGGGGAGAGCTTTGTGTTATAAGCAGGTTAATAACGCAGAGGCCCGGCTGTTCCTGGGGTCAGGACACAGGGGGTCCACACTTTCCCATGCCTCTGTGACTTTACAGCTGCTGTTCCCTTGATCCATAATGCTCTTCCACCCTTTCTCTTCTCCAGCTCACCCTTCCAGATCCAGCTCAGGGCCACTTCCTCTGAACACCCACTCTAGACCAGCTGCCTCTTATTACCCCCTCTGCCCTGTGCCCTCCTCTCACTGCACTTACGTTGTGTGGTCATTAGGGTTGATTTGGAGGGTGGGGACCATTCGACTATGGTCACCTGGTCCCGAACCTGACCCACAGCGAGCACTCTGCATATGTCTGCAGATGGACAGGCTGACCTTGGAGAACCTCTCCCCTCCTTGATGCAGGGGAGAGCAAGTTTCAGGGCCTGGAGCCAGGCTTATGTCCTGCCTCGCTCCCTGCAGAAACTTCCTACAGGACCTCAGAGTCAAGAGCCCTGAGTTCTGAGTCAAGTTCTGCTCTTGACAAGCAGGATAACCTTAGGGCCTCGGTTTTTTGTCTGTGAAGTGCATCTTCTTTCATGACCCTGCCTCCCTGGCCACACAGTGATTGGTCCAGGGCTGGGCATCTGATGAAGTCAGACCAATCAGAGACCTTCCCTGGGACTTTTAAATTATAACCAGAAGGCCCTTTGCTCTCCAGTAATACTGCTAAGAAGATGCAAGCTTGGCGTCCATGAATGGCCATGGTTGCAGTCTCAAGGGGAAAGCCAGAGGATGAAGCCGCCTCGTGGAGAGAAACGTGGCATTCCAGGCTCTGGAGGCCCCAGACCTGCCCTGGTCCTATCTTCCCAGTTGTTGGCTCTTCCCTTGGTTCTTTGGGCTACTTTAGTATCCCCAGTGCACTCCTTTTCTCACTCAGCTGAAGGTGATTTGGAGAAAAGTTTCCCGAGGTGGTAGCAACACTCAGTGTGGGCATCCATGCAAAGGAGAGTGTCCTGTGCAACCGCTGGGTAGCACATCCTGAATGAAGGATCTAGGGGAGCATCCACTGCTCAAAAGAACATCTCAGCTACGTTTCTGTAATTTATTTATCCTCAATTTTGGAACCTGCTTAACCCAAGATTGAACCCCAGGTGGTCTGACCCAAAGTGTGCTCTCTTCGCACCACACCCCACTGTCCTGCTGCAGAGCCTGGAGACACCTCAGCCCCTGAAGCATCCGCGACCACAAAATACCCTTGAAACATTCTGTGCAATGAAAAGGAAACTGCTCCGGGGCTGGTGGCCGCAGCACTACCCCGGAACTAAACAGGAATCTGCAGTGCACCTCAGAGGCCTGTGCTTGAAATGCAAGCACTACCTACTCACAGGTCACGTGCGCGCGCGCGCGCGCGCACACACACACACACACACACGATTTTTTCTAATACAAGAAAGGCCCTTTGCCAAGCAGGGTTGGGTCTGAAGGAGATTGGGGTGAGGAAGGGCACTTTTCCATAATTCAGCTGCCCAGAAGAGGCACCAATTTTCAATTCACCAAAGGCCCATATGTGCTGCAGGGCCCTCCCTGTGTGACACCAACTGCTCTGCGAAGGTGGACTGGGCTTTGGGTGAGCCTGCAGGATGTGAGACATTGGGTGGAGGATGGGGAAGTTCCAGGCAGCCTTTCACAGCTTCATCCCACCCACTACCCCCAGAAGCCATCCTAAAGAATTACCCCTTTTAACACTGAAATGGAATAGGATAAAAAATAAAGGTGAAACTTCAGGTCTTCCGAGGTGCCTGAGGCCATGGGGTCTAGACTCTGCGTAAACATTTCTTTCTTAATCTGCCTCGTCTTTCCAGGCTCGGTTCAAATGACAGGCCTCCCTTGAAGACATCCCCCACCCTTGGGTGCAGTTAGTGGCCCCTCCTCTGAGCTCCACAGCCTCCTGTGCACTGTCCAGTATTACCTGTTTCACAAACATTTACTTTGCTGGCCACCTCCCCCAAGGCTATGAGCTCCCCAAGAGCAGAGCCTACAAGTTATATGTCTCTGTCCCCCAGCCCCTCGCATCAGGCCCTGCACAGAACAGGGTCTCAAGAGATGACTGTGAATGAATGAATGGCTTACAAATAGTCAGGAAAACCCCAGCAACTTATAACTTCAGCCCACAGCACAAAGGAAGAATGCCCTTCCTCCTCAGCCCACCACAGATTATGGCCTTTCTCAAAAGGGCAGCCGCCAACGGGCCACAAAAAGCCAGACCCTCCCGAAGTTAGAGCTCAAAGGAGGAGGACAATTGGCTTTCAGGATTTCTCCACCTGCAAGGATACAGGGGAGAGCCTGCCCTCAGTCAGAAGGCAGGTGAAATAGGAGGACAAAGGGGGTCAGGGTTGGGGCACGATAGAGACACGGACTTGTCAAGGGAGTCGAATTCATGGATAGAGACACACGAACAGCAGCTGGGGAAGGCGGGGCTCCCAGCAAACCCCACACCAGAATCTAGGAATGGGTCTCCCCACCAGCCTACTGGGGAGCAGAGGTGGGGACGTGCCTCAAGTGAGGGTACAGCCAGAGATGATCAGATATCCCCCAGAAAGCAACACAGCCCTACCAGCAAGGGTGGAGGAAATGTGTGTGGTAGGAAGTGGGAGGAGGGTGGGCGGGCCGAAACATATCTCTGATTAAAAATAGTTGCTCACGGGCTTCCCTGGTGGTGCAGTGGTTAAGAATCCGTCTGCCAATGCAGGGTACATGGGTTCAAGCCCTGGGCCGGGAAGATCCCACATGCCCTGGAGCAGCTAAGCCCGTGTGCCACAACTACTGAGCCTGTGCTCTAGAGCCTGAGTGCCACAACTACTGAGCCCACGTGCCACAACTACTGAAGCCTGCACACCTAGAGCCCATGCTCTGCAACAAGAGAAGCCACCACAATGAGAAGCCTGCGCACTTCAATGAAGAGTAGCCCCCGCTCGCTACCACTAAAAAGAAAGCCCACATGCAGCAACAAAGACCCAAGGCAGCCAAAAATAAATAAATAGATAAATAAATTTATTTTAAAAAAATAGTTGCTCACTTCAACTTCCAACTTGTACTTTTTTAAGTGTCTGGTTTGGCAATACTTTTATTTCTTGATAAACAGATCCCTTAATATCACCGCCTGTGTTATTTGTTTTTGGATTATCTCGCCAACATCTGGGGCTTGCCCAAGGACGATGATGTCCATCTGCCTGACCAACAGATCCCTGCCGGAACCAAGACAGTGGCCACCCCAGCGCCACATTTCTGGCAGTTTGAGACGTTTCTGTTTTATCTCTGCTTCCATTCATCAAAGATTCAGAAACACTAAGGTCCAGACACAGAAAGCCCTGTCATGCAATCAAGAGATGTCCATGGCTCAAAAGCGAGGTTGGCATGTCCTGCTCTGTTCCCACACCAGACACCAGCAGGGAGAGGGTTGGTTTGGTCAGAAGAAATCAGACTGACAGGTCCAGCCACAAACTTCCCTCCAAAACAGTGGTTACGATATAAAAGAATCTAAGATGGTGGCTCAGGAAAAAGTTTTCATTTGCTCATTCACATCTTCCTTTGCTCATTTGGTTATTCTTTTTTTTTTTTTCATTGCAGTACGCGGGCCTCTCACTGTTGTGGCCTCTCCCGTTACGGAGCACAGGCTATGGACGCGCAGGCTCAGCGGCCATGGCTCACGGGCCCAGCCGCTCCGCGGCATGTGGGATCTTCCCGGAGCGGGGCACGAACCCGTGTCCCCTGCATCGGCAGGCGGACCCTCAACCACTGCGCCACCAGGGAAGTCCTGGTTATTCTTTTAATAATCATGAATTGAGCCCCATCAGGGGACCCCAGAGATAAACACAATGAGGGTCCTGTATCCCAAGGAGCTTTCAGCCCAGGAGGGGAGGGAGGAGAGACCTCCTCGGCACAGATGCAACGTAGAAAAGGGCAGAGGGAGGAGAGGAGGTGAGAAATGGCAAAGGCTCAGGGAGCAGAGTAGAGGGAAAAACAGAAAAGAAAAAAAAAAAAGAAAAGTGAAAA